GAATCACCTCGTCGGGGGAGACGTAGTAAATGAAGAGATTAGGACTGGGATTATTACAGAACTTCGAGAAATTAATTTAAAGCTCGATGCTTTTTCATACAGAGAGCTCAAGAGCAGCGTCAGCTTCATCAAGGATGGATTTACCGCACTAGACGATGGATTTACCGCACTAGACGACGAGTCTGAAGGTCGAAGTGTTGAAAGGCCAAGTGAAGTTCATGAAGGTGTTATCTTAGCACTTCGATCATCGACCACCGAACTGGGCGTTCCTTCAAAAAAACACGTTGCTTATGCAAAAGAATGTTTTAAAACATCGCTAGAATATGCTACTACGGCATTCAACAACGAAGGATTGACTATACAAGACATTATAATAGCGTGCAGGCTACGTATAATCAGCGTAATTTTTCGTAATTTTGACGACCTAGATTTCGTCGCTAAATACTGTTTAAGATATCTCAAGGACCTTCACGATATCCAGCAAATAAAATCAATTTTTGCTGTTCAGGATCGCGGGGGTATAAGAGCTTGGTTCAGAAGTGGTAAAAGGTGTGACATAGTGAACAGTGTTAATATGATTAATTATGTTTTGTATAATTTTATCAGCGAGTGCACAAGCCATAAGCTTGGTATATTCGATTGGCCTATGATATATCTCGGTGCCCAGCGCTGTTATCATCCTATATGTGAATGCGAGAACGTATTAGAAAGTACGAACGCGAAAGTACCGTGGGAAATGGCTTTTGTGTGCAGTCAAACGGTGAATCGAAATAGTTATACTATCGCTATAAATAGTGTGGGTGAAATACTTGAAGTGGTTAACGGCCAGAATATAAAAATCACAAGATTAACTGGTACGAGCGATACCTTTTGTGTCCTTCCAATTGACGAATCTGTAACTTGGTACATTTGTTCGTTAGCCGTGGACAAGCATGACGATACTTACGTAATCTGCGAATCCTGGGATAGACAGAGTGATATTTACCTTTACAAGTTGTTAATTTTTAACAAGAATGGCGAACTTAAACATCAAGCCCCATTAGACTTTCTTGGTGGAGAAAAGAAGTCCATGCGCATTGCTGTAAATTACGACAAAAAGGTCGTTATCCGCGAAGCATGTCAAAATCGTTTGTTCATTTGTGACAGCAATGAGGGGACGGCCGATTGCACTTTCTGCATGCCATCAATGATGTTTGTTCTTTGGAGTATTTCTAGAAAGAATGAACTAATTCTGGCCAACAAGGAAATGGATAGTATTTGTATATACACAGTGGAAGGAACCCCAAAACGTACTATAAAGTTGCCAAAAGATCATCTCGTAAGGAGTGCTGCTTTCCATGGCCCAACTGGTGATATATTTGTTTACACTTGTAAGGCTGAGGAAGATCCAACGTCTTTTTATTTACTGCGTTTTTCGGAAAATGGTCAGTTACTTCATTCGCATTCTGCGCGCACGTGGTGGAACAATGACTTTTATTATCTTTTGTCTCATCCAAAGGGTGTTGTTGCTCTATTTAGTCACCGCAAAGCAATCTTTATATTACTCAACTCGAAATTTTTATTTTAACTTTCCTTCATGATTATAGCTTATCTAATCTTATTCGAACATTTACTTGTATGTGCGGAAACGTTCTACGTGATGCCATTACAGCAGTTATATATTGTCCTACTATAGTCAAATGGTTTATAATCATTGAACCCTAACATTGAATAATTGAATCCTAACATTGAATCATTGAATCCTAACATTGAATCATTGAATCCTAACACTGAATCATTCAAAGCAAACAAATGCTTGTACGTTATACGAACACTCAGGGCAGAAGGCTACAGCCAATGTGAGATAGATTATCTATTTAAGACCCTATTAATATCTACTATAACGTTTGGCCTGTCCGTCTACGGTTCTTCTCCAGCCGAACTCAGTACTCTACAACGGTTTTTTGACAGATGTTTTATGCGAAAGTATATATCAGAACCTGTAAATATTAGATATCTTTTAGAAATACAGGACAGAAATATTTTTAAAGCTTCTGTAAATCAGAAGAGTGCCATAGTCGACTTGATACCAAGAAAAAAATCCACAAGCTACTCTTTGAGGACAGA